CAGTCCCAGTATGCTCCCAATCAGTCCTAGTATGATCCCGGTCACTCTTGTTGTCTCCTAATATATCCCAGTTGCCCCCAGTGGGGCCCCACTCATTCCCAGTTGCTTCCAGTAGCTTCCAGCATGATCCCAGTTGCTCACAGCCACTCCCAGTCACCCCCAGTGTGGTCCTAATTGTTCCCAGTATGATCCCAGTCACCTCCAGCGTGATCCCACTTGCTCCCAGTATATCCCAGTTGCACTAACATGGTCTCAACTGCTCTCAAAATTGTCCCAGTAACTTCCAGTATGACCCCAGCCACTTTCACTGTGGGCCCAGTTGCTCCCAGTATGATCCCAGCTGTGCCCAGCATGGTCCCAGTTGCTCCCAGTGGGATCCTAAGAGCTCCCAGTTGCCCCTAGCATAGAACCAGCTACTCCCAATATTATCCTAGTCTGATCCCAGTTGCTCCCAGTATGATCCCAGTTACATCCAGACACTTCCAGTACAAAGCCAGTTTGATCCCACTCATCCCCAGTATGGCTGCAGTCCCTCCCACACACTCCCAGTATTATTGCAATCACTCCCACTATGATCCCAGTATGACCCCAGTAGGGGCCCAGCTGCTCCCAGTATGATCCCAGTTGCCACAGTTCTGGTTACTGGGGGGCACTGGGGGGATTTGGAGGATCCCAAGGGGTGCAGCCGAGTTTGGGGGGGCAGAACCGGCCCTGGGATGGATCAGGAATGGGGACCCCCCTGTGTTCCCCCCGTGTCACCCGCTCTGGGGGGGCTTTGGGAGGGCACTTGCACCTCAATAGGCACCCAGTTCACCCCAAAAGGTGCTGGGACCCCCCAAAACCTCCCCAAAGCCTCTCAAGAACCCCCCAAACACACTCAGAGCCCACCCAGGACCCCACCCAGCCCCTTTTCTGGGGGGGCTTCTCTGGGCACTGGTGGTGCTGGGAGCCCCCCCGGCTGCGGGCGAGGAGCTCTCGGGTGAGCGGGGGGTGGGAAGGGGGAGGTCGGTGGGAAAAGGGGGGTCAGAAGGGATAAAAGGGGTGGTGGGACCCCAAACTGAGTGGGAGGGGAGAGGGACCCTCCAAAAGTGGAGGGGAAGGGGGACTAAGGTTCATGGGGAATGGGTGGGAGAGGTGAGAAGAGTGGGGAAAGGGAAGGGTGGGACCCCCAAACTGAGCATGACGGGGATGGGGGGGATGATGTGGAAGAGGGGGAGAGAGGAGGGAAAATTAGGGGGTTGGGACCCCTAGAATGATCTGGGAGGGGCTGGGGATTGAGGACCATGAGCTCCCAACTGACTATGGGGAGCTGGGAACTGCTGGATCCAATCTCAGCCTTGGGTTATGCCAACAGGTTCAGTTCAGAGGAATTACAAAGGTGGGACTGAAGCACTTTTGTCCTCCAGGTTTTAAGGATGGCAAATCAGACCTATTTGATAGAAATGAATTATTTAGAGTTACAAATGATTAGACAAAAGATCTTCATCAGAATTATTTACTGCACAATAGAAACACTAAAACTACCAGTAGGACAGCATAAGATAGGACAGTGCTCTAAACTAAAGCAATTGTTGAAGCAATTCTACTCTAGCTGGCACCAAAGCAAGAATTATGAAATAGACATGGATGGAACTCCCCCAGACCAACGCTCGTGGGGAGATCTCTGCTCTCAACCTCCAGCACTGACCTTGGGGGGTCCCAGCCAAGGCAGGAATCTCCACACACCCCCCAAGAAGGGTTCTGCTGGCACAACATGCCCCTGGCAAAGGGGACTGGCCCTTTCTGGTAGAAAGGGATGGACTGACAGTCCCTGGACTCCAGGGGTTGCCTCACCATCAGGGGGGTCATTTGGGGTGGGAGCAACGGCCGAAGCTCTTCCCGCTGTTGTGGCACTCCTAGAGCTTTCCTTACCGGTGTGTCCGTTGGTGGGAGATCAAGTTACCTCTCTGGCTGAAGCTCTTCCCACACTCCCCACACTTGTAGGGCCTCTCCCCGGTGTGGATGCGCCGGTGCCTGACGAGGTTGGAGTTCTGTTTGAAGCCCTTCCCGCAGTCGGTGCAGCGGAAGGGCCTCTCCCCTGTGTGTGCCTGCTCATGCCTGAGGAGCTTGGAGCTGGTCTGAAACCTCTTTCCACATTGCAAGCACTTGTAGGGCCGTTCCCCGGTGTGGATGCGCCGGTGCCTGACGAGGTGGGAGTTCTGGTTGAAGCCCTTCCCGCAGTCGGTGCAGCGGAAGGGCCTCTCCCCTGTGTGTATCCGCTCATGGACTAGGAGAGTTGAGCTGAACTGAAACCTCTTCCCACATTGCAAGCATTTGTAGGGCCGTTCCCCTGTGTGGATAACCTGGTGTCGGATCAGAGAGGAGTTGACATTGAAGCTTTTCCCACATTCCCTACATGTGTAGGGTCGTTCCCCAGTGTGGATGAGCTGGTGCCTGAGGAGTTTGGAGCAGTCCCTGAAGCCCTTCCCACATTCCCTACATGGGTAGGGTCGTTCCCCAGTGTGGATGCGCTGGTGGGTGATCAGGTTGGTGCTGTACCTGAAGCTCTTCCCACATTCCCTACACGTGTAGGGCCGTTCCCCAGTGTGGATGTGCTGGTGGCTGAGGAGTTGGGTGCTCTTCCTGAAGCTCTTCCCACATTCCAAGCACCTGAAGGGCTTCTCCCTGCTGGGAGGCTGCTCAGGGACCACCAGCTCGGAGCTCCGGCTCAAGCTCCGGCCGCCTTCCCGGCACAGG